ATCTGGGTGTGAGGATGCCCTGGGGCTTTCTGTGCAGTAGAGAGACAGAGAAGGTCTGTGATTTAATAGGGCTGAGTGGCAGGGGATTGGCTAACGAGGAAACCAGGGGTTCCTTGAGCTCTCACCCAGTGGCAGGCAGCGTCTGAGAATTTAACACACACTCTCTCACTTTGGCCTCCCAGCTTTTAGTGGTTGAGGAAACTGAGGCACAGAGAGGTTAGGCTGCTTGCCCAAGGTCACCTAGCAGTAAGTGGCAGCTCCTTAGCCCAGGGCACCATGGTATTGTGAACGGTAGTGCAGGGACCACTGTGGGACCCTCCGGGCCCTGGGCCAGAGGTCACAGCCAAGGATGGGCTCCCCAGGTGGCGAGAAGACATCAATGGCCATCTCGGTGCTCCTGGCCCAGTCTGTCTTCCTGCTGCTTATCTCCAAGAGGCTGCCAGCCACGTCCATGGCCGTCCCCCTCATCGGCAAGTGAGTGCCGTCCCTGCCTGCCTCACCCCGCCATTCCTCACCCTGGGCGGGGGCTCCAGGCTGCACCTGTGCCCACAGGTTCCTGCTCTTTGGCATGGTGCTGGTGACCATGGTCGTGGTGATCTGTGTCATCGTACTCAACATCCACTTCCGCACGCCCAGCACCCACATGCTGTCTGAGGGAGTCAAGAAGGTGAGGGCTCAATAGCCAAAAGCTGGAGGTCGTCCACGTGCCTCTCTGCAGGGAGATGGGTGAAGCCACAGTGGTACACACAACAGGGGGTGCTTCCCAGCAGCAAAAGTGGCCCTGCTGCTCCCCACGCCCCAGGCTGAATATTACATAAAAGAAGCCCGATGCTAAAGAGACTGCAAGATTTCCTTTCTGTGAAGTTCAAGGACAGGCAAAACCAATCTTTACTGCTAGAAGTCAGGATGGTGGTTCCCTCTGGGTGTGGGTAGGAATTGATGGGGGTGAGGCAGGAGGGAACATTTTTGACATACAGTTCTTATCTTATCTGAGAGGTGTTTACACAGCTGAATGCATCTGTAAAATTTCACCTAGCTACATACTTAAGATTTGTTGAGTCTACTGTGTGTTTGTTATACCTTGATTCAAAGGAAGGTGAGCAATGTGGGGGCAGGGTGACCAGGAAGGGGACTGTCCTTGCCTCCTGGCCTCTGCAGGGCCACCAGGTTGTTTTGGGACAGCTGAGGATACTTTAGCAACTTTGCTGGTCTTAGCTCTGCGTTGGGGGCATTTTTCTTACTTTTTTTTTTTTCATATATAATTCATTTTCAACAAATGAGTTCTCTATGCTGTAATGAGAGAGTTGGAAGCAACCTAATTGTCCATCAGTAGGGGATCAGAAGAATAAATGACAGCATCAGACTGGGGAGCACTTTGTGGCAAGCCAGGAATGGAGTCACAGATGTTTGGATGTGTGAAGGTGACCCACATTTATAAAATGGCCCCTCTGACCTGCCATAGCTCTTCCTGGAGACACTGCCTGAGGTCCTGCACATGTCCCGTCCGGCAGAGGATGGGCCCAGCCCTGGGACCCTGGTCCGGAGGAGCAGCTCCCTGGGCTACATCTCCAAGGCAGAGGAGTACTTCTCACTGAAGTCCCGAAGTGACCTCATGTTTGAGAAGCAGTCAGAGCGTCATGGGCTGGCCCGGCGCCTCACCACCGCACGTGGGTCCCTAATGGCTTGGAGTTCGGCCCATCCATGGGAGATGGGGTGAGGGCAGGCCCCATGCCCACCTCTGGCCTGGTGTCCACAGGTCGGCCCCCAGCAGGCTCTGAGCAGGCCCAGGAGGAGCTCTTCAGTGAGCTGAAGCCAGCTGTGGATGGGGCCAACTTCATCGTCAACCACATGAAGGACCAGAACAATTACAATGAGGTGAGTAGCCACAGGGTTGCTGTGTACAGATGTTCAGGTAGTGCACTGATCGAGCACATATCTTAAGGGGGCACAGTTCCCCTCAGAGATACCTATCAACTTAGATGGAGTTCACAGTGGGTGCAGATTCCAGGCCTCTCGGGGAGGGGGAATCGCCTGCCTAAAATCCCATAGCAGCGTGCGGGGCCAGGCACACACTCAGATATACACACAGGCGCACAGCTCTGCCCTGTTGGGGCCACACTCTGGACCTCCCTTAGGGTCCCTTTATTCTCCCAGCTGCCAATCATTTTCTGTCCCTGCTCAACTCCCAGCTTGATACTCCAGACAAAGCCAGACATTTAAAAGGCAGCCTTATATGGTTGTTCAGTACTACACAACTTTAAAAAATTCTCCCCTGACAAAGGGGCATATTTTTCTTGTTCATATATAGGCTAGTGGCAGCACTGAGAGGCTGGGAGGGAGTCTGTGGGCCTGCTCTCTGTCTCCTGGACAGACAGAATGACCAGCCCCGCCTGTGGCTGGAGGTGGGCCTGGGCCCTTGCTGGGGACATGGCAGCACATCCCATCTGTTGCAAGCCCGAGGCAGGCCCCACAGATACGCCGAGGCCGTGGGCCCCAGCTTGGGGTGTGAGTATGTGGTTTGAGGGCCCTTCTCACCCCACTGTCTCTGTCTCTGTCACCCTTGTCCCCAGGAGAAGGGCTGCTGGAACCGGATAGCCCGCACGGTGGACCGACTCTGCCTGTTCGTGGTGACACCCATCATGGTGGTGGGCACAGCCTGGATCTTCCTGCAGGGCGCCTACAACCAGCCTCCACCTCAGCCCTTCCCTGGGGACCGCTTCTCCTACCGGGAGCAGGATAAGCGCTTCATCTAGAGTGGGCGTGCCCTCCCCGGCCTGGCCCAACAGCCAGGGCAGGCGGCTGGCCTGAAAGGGAGGTACAGGGGGTGCGGTGGATAGCTGTGTGGACAGGGGTGTCTGCGAAACAACCAGCTCTTCCTGGGCAGACCAATTCCCAGCCCTGAGACTTTGAGCCCAGTTGGTCCTGCCAGGCTGGGGCAGAGACGAGCTGAGGTCAAGGGAGGGAGGGGGAAGCCCTAATTCTCAACAGTGGTTCCTTTGCAAATAAAGCCAGGAGCCACCAGAGAAGGGCTGAGAGGGGACATCGGCTGGGGGTGGGGGCAGGACGATTTGGGGGGAGGCAGAGGGCTGGCTCAGGGACCAGGGAGGATGCCACTCAGGCTGGCCTCTTGGGACCCCTCTGTGAGGGGTCAGAAAGACAGAGACATCTTCTTGCCTCCCTCTCCCTCAGGTGGGGGTGGGACAGGTGGGATCCTGGGCCTTTACTTCCCAGCTCCTCCAGCCGCCTCCTTCTGCCAACCCCTTAGTCTTGGGCTTCTGAGGCCCCACCTGGAGCCGAGGTTGGGGATGCCTCTCTCTCCAGGCCCACTAGGGAAGGAGTTTTTTGGCAGGTTTGGGAGCATCAGGATTGCAGAATGGCCTTCCCCAGCCCTTTCTGCCTTGGCCACTCTATCTGGGTCCCCCCGGGAAGCTGAGGATGGGGGTGGAAGGGTCAGGTTCAGCATCCACAGAGGCCAGAGGTCAGCCTGTCAACCTCAGGTCACATGCACCATCCTAAAGCCCCAGAACTCGGCCATCCCCACAGGCTTGCCCCCTTGAGCACCTACTCCTCTTCCCCAAAATAGGGTTGCCAGACAAGACTTGGGACATACTTATACTAAAAAATGATTCATTGTTTACCTGAAATTCAAATTTAACTGGGAATCCTGTATTTTAATTGGCTAAATCTGGCAACTCCACCCCAAAGAGAGCCCCCGCCACTCCTATCCCAAAGGCCAAGGGCTGAGGTTGCAGGAGCCAGAGGATGTGGTTCTGGGTGGTAACCCACCTCCAAGGTGGCCCCAGTGAGCCACACCTCCTGGCATTCATACCCTCCCACACAGTACCAAGGTTGGTCTGTGTGACCGATAGAAGGAGGCAGAAGTGACAGTGTGTCACTTCCAAGATCAGGTCGTAAAAGACATTGCAGCCACTCTCTTTCTCTCTCTCTTGCTCTCCCTCCCTCATTCATTCTTAGTTGGCTCTCTGACTTTGGGGAAGCCAGGGGCATGATGAGCATCCCTGTGGAGAGGTCCAGATGGCAAGTAACTGAGGCCTCCGGCCAACAGCCCTGTAAGTGACCTTGGAAATGGATCCTCCGGCTGAAGTGGCTCCTTCAGCCACAGTGGAGCCTTCAGATGAGATCACAGCCCCATAAAAGGCGCTGAGCCAGAGCCACCCAGCTAAGCTGCTCCTGGATTCCTGACCCTCAGAAACTGTGTGAGATATTAAACATTTGTCATGTTAAAAGACAAAGCTTTGGGGTGGTTTGTTACACTAGCAGTGTGACCTTGGGCGAACCACCTGTCATCTCTCAGCTTCAGTTTTCTCATCTGCAAAGTGTGGATAAGTCCAGCTCATGAGGCGTCTTGAAGATCAAATTTGCTAGTAGGAGTAAAGGTAGTTACATGTGTCCTGCAAATTTTAGGAGTGGTTATTTATCTCATTCCTCATTCGTGGGCCTCAGTCACTGAAGACAGGCCCTTGGGCCCCTCCCAAGGGCCTCCTGCATCCAAGCCTGGCGTGGTGACTGGCAGGGGACTGGAGCAGGTTGGAGGACCTGATTCTTCACCTCCTTGATATGCAGGCTTGAGTGTCCCAGCTGAACCCACGTCCCTCAGAGGGAATCAGTGACCTCATGAGCTCAGGTATATAGAAGGCAAAACGTTCGGTCTTCCCATGGAACTGAAGAAAAGATAAACCATTTAAAACCAAAACTGACCCTACTTACTTCTGCTTTCCAATATGAACCTTCTGAAAATTCAAGGTACAAATCTTTAATTTTTTCCCCTCTGAATAGGAAAACTAGCTTAGACTTACACCCTTCAGATGAGCAGGCAGTCTGGGTCTTCCCTGGAATTTTTCACCAACTCTGGGGTGTCCCTTTCTCGTGCCCAGAGACAAGACGGCCCAGATCTGATCCCTCAACCACTGTCGTTGCTTTGCTTCGCCACATGGTGGTGCTGTTGGCAGCAGATTTTACACAGTCCAATATTGAGGCCTCAGTGTGTCAAGCCTGCTCAGGTGGCTGTAAACCTTCCAGAGAAGACAACCCCCAATGCCCCACTAGACCAAGGGAGCCTCTTTAGCAGGTTACCAGGGTCACAGTGGGTCCCCCGACAGCACCCACTTCCCCAACACTCCAGCCGCAGGGTGTTGTCAGGACTGGTCCACCCTACGGACCAGTGGCTGCGTGGGGTGGCATGGTTCAGGCGGTGATGTGAGCGATGGGGGGCGATGGGGAGCCATGGGGGGCGATGGGGGGTGATGGGAGGCCACGGGGGCGATGGGGAGCCATGGGGAGTGGTTGTAAATACAGATGAAGCTTCACTCCCTCACCCACCGCTCACCTCCTCCTGTGCCGC